AGAATATTTTCACCAACAGTAGGAAAATAAGGTACTTGAAGTAGGCAAAACAAATATTTCTGAAACAATGATTCTGCTGTAAGTGATCAGGACACTTCGATACACTGAAAAAAAACTTTGATAATATAGCTAGTGAAATTTGCATACTACCAAGTGAAAATTTGCATACTATATGGGACAAGTACTCGCTTCATTAGCCACAAGAAAAATTATATTTATGAATCTGATCACTTGTTGGTATTAATTTAATTTCAGGAACACATGTAACCTACTGATATTAAACGCTTCATTAGAGACAGAATATTTGTTTTATTGGCCTCAGTGTTCTTTCTACTTGCAGTTATACAACGAAAATATTGGGTAGGCGTTCACTACGGTAAGTATAAGTGACTTGCTTCACATGTCCTCATCGAATGACTCACTTGTGGGTAATGTACTTTTTACTTGGAGTTTTATACAACGACATTATTGGCTATAGGTGTCTATTTTGATAACTACAATTGTTTGCTTCTCTTGGCCTCATAGAATGACTCACTTGTGGGTAGTTCATTATGTCTTACCTTGGATAGCTTTCATCCCATCTTTGGTATCAGAATGCACCAGACTCAATCAAACTTTTCTCTTGCCCTCACTCCCAATTCACTTGGCCTTCAAACAAGGATTGTTTGTGATATATCATGCCTTATTTTTTGCATAATATTCTTGTTTCAAAATGAAATGAATGGTTCAATGTCACCAATGTCAGTTCATATCTTGCAAATTTTATGTGGGTGATACTTAATAATAGGAATCAGAGTGTACCATGTTCCTGTTTGAAATCACAATTGATGGCACTGTTGCTATATATACTTCAGAACTCTGTTGAATGTCTAGTCTGAATTCATTATTGATGAATTGATAAACAGGCAAGCACAGACATTCATCGTATTCTTTTGAAGAAGATGATGAAATACATAACTCTCCCAGAACAGAACATAATTGTTGACATCATATACAGAATTGTTTTCCACTTCCGACGATACTCAAAGTGGGAGGAAGTGACGATTAATGAGTATATGAGAGTTAATTTCAATTCTACTTTTCAATCACTGAAAATGAAAGAGAGGGTACCAGTGCACTATCTGTCGCCAGCCTTAACTTTTTGTTATTTCTGGATGGTTGATTATAGCTTCACGATTAATGTTTAAAGTGTACGACTTTTTTCTTCAGAGAACAAAATATGTAATTTTTTATAGAACCTAGCTAATGACAGGCAAATAAGTCACTAATGACAAGTGAATAAGTCACCGATGACAAGTAAGCAAGTCACTAATGACATTTGATTAGGTCACTAATGACAAGTTTACAAATCACTGATGACAAACGAATAAGTCACTAATCTCAAATGAATAAGTCACTAATGATTAGTGAATGAGTCACTTATGACAAGTGAATGTGTCACTAATGACAAGTGCTGTATTAACTAATGGTCATTAATCTGATTTTCAATGAAACAAGTTAATAGTGGTAGGTTTACATTTTTGAGAACACAAATATTCTTGTGTTTATTGAATTGTTTTCTTGTCCCAAAGAGTTCATGAGTTTTTTCTTGCCACTATTGAATATTCACTTAGGGTTGTTGATTTTTTCCTCCGTGTGGAAATATTTCGATAAACAGTGTATGATGAGAGAGCCTGTGAGTAAAGATGCTGAATATGCTGAAATTTTATTATTGACGGTGACAAAATCATTATACATGTACATACGCTCAACTTTGAGAAATTTGGCAACGCCATTTACCGTATGGCCAAGGACAGTATGCAAATAACTACGTATTCAAATCATCCCATATTCATAACCAGGAAGAAATAATTCTCATCTAATTGTATATTTTTTTATTCATCAAGGATAGAGAAAGAGGTATAAAAAGTATTCAAGTTGAAAATAAAATGCAAAGATTCATGCTAATTAATGAACATAATATTATTCCCTACATAAAGGCACATAATGATGACGGTTATGGTGAATCGAAAAGTACATGTTGGTCCATTATCATTGAATAAATCAGAATTCCTTCTATCACATTCTCAGTTCACCCAAATTTCATCCTTGGGGGTATTTGGCACATCTTCAACCTCCTTATACTAAATAAGTTCATAATCAAACGATCTGAGAATTTTCTCCAATCAGAATACTCTTCCAACTCGGAAATACCTTGTGGGTAAAATAATTAGAATAAACAAAAATAACTCAAATTGGATTTATTATTTTTCTCAGAACAACAAAAAATCATCAAAACCGGATTCACAGAATCTTAACTTAAAAAAATTAAATAAAAATGTAACAAATTAAATAATTAAGTAGCTATGTCTTTGTACATGCAAGTTAACGTAAAAACGAAGAGAATAAATATACATAAATTATTGATAAAGGCAGGTTTGAAACCTATTTCATTTCACATTACAATCAGATGATATTAAATAATTTAACTTAAATTATACAGTAAAAAAGTATGTAGGTACATTCATAACATCAACACAAATATACAACGATATTTTTGTGGCACAACCTCATGATCATTTTTCGAAAGTTTCATCAGGTAACAACAATAATTTATTGTGGCACATGGAGAACATGTGTCACATTTCAAATTTAATAATGCCCAATCAATTACATGAAGAACAGATAAAGTCAATTCTTAATATTCAAATGTCAATATTTCTCAATATCAAAAATAGAACATAAATTTATCAACTACTCTCACAAAAATAAAACAACGAAATGTACAAATATCACAGTATTCGTATATCATTTCCAATATCTAATTAGTTTACCACCCACCATATGATGAAGTGAAACAAGGAACTGATGTTTAATGACCTACCTATAGCTTCTGGAGAATTATCTTGCAAATATTTAAGTATCATAGGTAGTTATTATTGATCATCTTATGGATTCTATTACCTAGTCCTCATTGGTCACAAATGATCAACTGATACATATTATGTGACAATTGAGTACAAAATCGTGCTCGTTGATGAACACAGTGGGCTGACGCCTTGCTATCAGCAGACTGGTAGTAGTATAAAGATAATCTCGGCCTCCAAATTTTTTTTCAAATACTCATATCCTTGATGTATCACGTATTCATCGTGACCAATGAGGGTTCGGAATTCGTCTTCTTAGTTAACGACTGTCGCTAGTTTTGCCGGTAGCACATATGTTGGCTGGACCTGGCTACCACATTGACCAAATATTTTGGATATTTTTATTATTGGGCCAATGAGGAATAGATTTCCTGCAAAAATTTGTGCGACTGTGGTGGAGCCATATAAGGAGAATAAATCATGTTTTCTCGAATCCAAATTATTATAACGCTCGTGTGTTTAGTTTGTAATAAATATGAATTTTTCAACGATATGACTGGATGAGTAGTAGATTGAGTATATCGAAGTGGCCAGCGTAGCCTCGTGGTTGGAGCGTAAGTATTCTATCCACGTTGGATTGCCGATAGGTGGGTTCGATTCCCACCACGACCGCAGACATTAGGTGCGTTTTATTTATCCGATTCCGCCATCAGAATGACTTCAATGTGTCGTTTTATTTTATTTTCCGATTTTGGTAGCTACTTTTCATTCCGCCTCACTACAAGGAATAATGTGGAATGACTGTTGACAGTTGTCAAAAAATGAAATTAGATTGATTAAAAACGAAACTTCTTGGAAGTAGGAGACGATTAGAACACATTTTTATCGTAATGTTCAGGAGTTTATGATTCTTCTAAGTAAGACAGAAGACAGGTTTCAAATCTTCATTCCCAGATAAATTGAATTCTCTCGATCTCGGAGAACTTTCTTCAATCACCACAAGCACTGCTCCAGATATGCGTTGATTTATTTTCTCAATATTCAACTCTAGTATTATGATTTTGAAATTATTCGGAGCCCCAATTTATAAATTCAACCTCTAACATTTATTCTCATGCTAGGTCATGAGGATTGTCGTTTTATTTGCTAACGTCATTCTGTTCCCACCACCGTTACCAGAATGGAACAAATAAAACGCAACTATTTTCCTGATGGCCATTCATCCCAGTCAACTCAAAATGTCGTCCCAACACTTGAATTTCCGTTCCTAGACCTTCGTTGCATCGGCAATGTAATGAAAGGTAAATTATTAGATCACACTATACTCAGTGACGATGATTCATTATATATCGCTAGCAAAATATATAGTGAAAGTGTCTGCAATGTTTCGAAGCAACCCGAGTGAATTAATGCTATTCACTCATTGGACAATCTCAGGAAACTTGATAAAAGCGTAGGATCCTATGATCCGCGTTGTTGTAATCTGTGACTCACAGTGTTGCCAAATTCACAACATTTCACGATAAGCCTCCAAACGCTAGACCATTCACAGTCACAAATACGATCTTTGACATACCTACATATTGACCATGTTCGAGAATACTATCAACAGATATATCTACATAAGCATCAAACTGAATCAACACCTGACCGAGCACTTATTACATTGAGTGTGATAGTTCAACATCCGGAAATTTTGTTAGGCTTCTCCTCACTTTTGATCGCCATCTTACTTGATGTGATGTACAAAAATATGACTGGAACCGAAGAGTCATATTTAACCCCACCAGCTTAGTTGTCAACAATCCAAAGCGAGGTCCAGAGTAAGAGGGAGAAAACATTTTTTTCATGGTAGGAGGATTGCTACAAAATGTGTGAGATATATTTCTCATTCAATGAACAATACATTGGACCACTTTGAGTATGGATGATTCCTATGATTTATATTTCTCCTTATTTCCAATTTGTTATTCAATGCATCATTATGTAACCACATACGGATAATTTTTAGCACTTTCATAGAGCTCATTCGGTATACCCAGTCGCTTGTTACTCAGCTAGTGAAGTGAAATTAGCGACTTATGTTCTTACTTAGTCGATATCAATGTGAAAAAAGTGGTTTGTTATACCACTGTGAATCTCATATGGTGGGTTGGTATTATTTTTATCATTATCCTATTCAATCGAAATGTCTTTTATAATGCTGCTGTCTTCATGTTATTTCTACATATCTATACGTATTCTGTATAATAATTGATCAATAAACTCAAAAATGTTATCAAGCTATCCAAAATCACTGAACATTCAACTTTTCATTTCATTGAAAATTCGGTTGAAACTATGATGAAATTATACAGTCAAACATCAGAAAGGTGGTTAAGTTATTATTAGGAAATTGTGTATAAAAAACGAGTGATATGCTGGCAAAGCATTGCCACTGGCCACTCATTTGGCACTCGCGACACGGCTTGTGTTAGTCGATTATATCATCAGACTGACCTGGCAATATTAACATAGTGGAATGGTATGAGATCTTCATCAACAAGGCAAAACATGGTATGATATTGAGCAAAAATGTCCAGTCAATTTGAAATAAAATCCAAAGAGCTCTTCCATTAGTGATTTTTTCCAGAGAAATGCACTAAGTCGTTGTATGAAAGAATGAGGACGAGTACAGATCTGATACCTATCATACTGACAATTCTTATTCGATGACTGGAAATTTTTGAATAAGTATTTGTGAAACCAAAAATACTTTTGGGAGTACTGGCTAAGACTAGATAACAATTTGTTCAAAACATCATTTTACGTCAATGTGACTAAATAATTCAACAATACCAATTTTTAATATAAATTTCACCCCAACCAAGTATTTTTGGTGAGCAAGTTATCGGTTTGAAACGAAATCAGAATTATATTAAATATAACAACACCGGGATTCCTTACAACACAATCCAAATTGTCAAAAACTACGAACGAATCGAAAAACTTAATACCTGTGAAAATATGACTCACAGAAAGTATTTTTAATGATGCTCAGCCTTGAGTTGTTGTGTAGCAATGGAGTCAGGTTCGAACCTAGTGTGAGTCCTCATATGCCTAGTGATCATGTCCCGCCTACACGCAGCGTAAGGACACTGAGGACACTTGTAGGGCTTCTCTCCAGTATGTGTTCGCTGGTGAGTAGACAAATGATCAGATCTAGAGAACACTTGACCGCATACTCGACACGTATACGGTTTCACACCAGTGTGTAAGCGCATGTGTCTAGTTAGCATATCACTACGTGCGAATGACCGTTTGCACACTTCACAAAGGTACGCTTTCGCTGCGGTTTCGGTACCAGTTTGCTTGCTTTTGTGCCTGGAGGCCATGTGTTTGGCAAGACGATCGTGCAAGCTGAACATCTGCCCGCAAACCGGGCAAACGTAGGCTACGTCCGAACCGGGTGGCATTTCTTCGACCACTGGTGATACTTCCAAGTTGTATCTGGATGCAACTGATTCCTTCGTTGTGTGGGAAGCAACGTCGCCCTTGATTACAGGTACTGATACTGGGCCACGAGGTGGCATGAACCCAGGAGGGAGCAGCTGGAGAGATGGTGGTACCATGCATTCTAAGTGATCTCTGCTCCGTGAAGTTTTCATTGACAGATCTAAAGGAGATTCCTGTGGCGATAAAGTGTCCGATTCTACTGATCCTTTACCGCACCCAGTGGATAATGTGAGAGGATGTGGCCATACTGGAGGTGCTCGTGCTCTATCTGCTCTGGCATCTTCGAACCACAGCGGCAAGTCTGAGTCGGAGTGACTTCTCTTTCGAAATATATCGGGAAGGTACTTGGAGTGAAGGTATCGTTCGAAACTGTAGGTAGGAGCAGGAGAGGCAGGGGTCAAAGGCGAGATAGGTGAGGCAGGAAAGAATCGATCGTAGGGATGTAAGGGAGGAGGATGATGCCCTACCCCTACTCCTGTTACACATTGGTAACAGGCACACATAGGCGGTCTTTGCATAGAAGGTGGACTGGGGCTTGGGTCATCCTTGATCCTGAGAGGACTGAATCTTATCCTGGGAGATTCTGTCGAGCTATGTGGTGATTTGTTGCTTGAGCTGGCTGGACTGAATACGTCTTCGTCTTCGCTGACAGTCTTGTAACGGTCGCGATCAGGAATATCGAATTTGAATACCTCTGGACGGTAATGTTTCGGTGCTTTGAGCTCGTTCAATTCTAGGGTGTCTCCTTTGTTGTTGTTATAGAACTGGACGTTGTTGTTGATGAGGAGGTCTGGGGACGGTTCATTGTCTTGGGGTGGCGACGAACCACCTGAAACAAGAAGAAAAATATTATTCTAGCAGTTATAACATTATTGAATTTCTCTATAATAATTTTTCCGAATAAATACAAGCACGTGAAAGAAACTTTGCAATAATTCAGCTTTGGTGAATTAGATGCATATAAAAGCCTATGAATATTGAAAAATAGTATAAGGGTTACAACTTAGGATGAAGGAATCATTTCATATAACTCATTGTATAGTTGACTGGGGCCTCATCTCTTAACGTATGATCAAAAACACTTTCTGGGGCCATCCGAAAAATTTCTGTTGTTGGGTTCGAACCCATGACCGGCAAGCGAACGCGATTAGAATACTGACGCTTCTACCACGCTTCTATCCGGTTTCCTATTACATATTGAGCAGAACACTTGTCGATGCGTTGAAAAGTCGGTTTCGTTAGTGGTGAATCAGTGTAGGTTTCAGTTTTCGATACATCAAGAAGAATAGGGTATAATCTCGTTGAAGAGTATATATATTTTCCACACTCCTTAGGTTTCCGTAGTAGCCGCCGAGCGGCAAAACTTTTAATGGGGCCAAGGATTTCACTGACAGTTGAATTCTCCACCACAGTATGCACCAGATAGACTTGTTGTCAGGGGAATCGATAATTTTTTTCTTGGAGGGTGATGGCTTTTTGGTTTAGGCAATGAAAAAAACTCATGTTATAGAGAGCCATAAATAACGGAAAGAGCTAGAGAGGTCTAGAAAAATTCAAGTAAAAATTTACATCTGTTACTACATTTGGACATGGAAATGATTGTGGTCACGTGGCCTAGTATCAAGAGGGCACCCTCAGCTTTATCTTTCAAATGTAAAGGGGGTCACGTGGTCCCTAGTTTTACATTTGTGCAAATCGACCAAGCTGTTTTGAACTGACAAGCGTATGAAGTTCACCTGGAAAACATGAAATAACGTTCAGAATGAATCTATAACCCGATTTATTGTCTGTGAACGGTAAACATTTCGCAAAATATTATTATTCTTGGGGGGGGACGGGGTAATGGGGTATGATGTTCTAGGTGATTCAGCCTCTGAATATATACATCACATGAGAAAAATATGTGTTTCGCAGTTTCGGTCGCTCTGTTGCAAACGCGGCGAGTGTCAGTCTCCGCTAGACCCATCTTCTTGAGGTGATAGAGAGCAGTATTTGGATCGGTTTTGCGAATGGTTGATGACACCATTCGCTTGTCGTTGATCCGGAGTTGCTCTCCAGTAGGAGGTAATTTCGGTCTCTTTCGATTTCCTGAGCTCTGAGCTGAAAAAAATGCAGACTCTGCACCTTCTTTCCACACTAGCTATGTATTATAGGCACTGTTCAAAATAGACATTCCAAGAATAGAATTCAGAATATTCGTTGAAATTCCTCAGCTATGGGCTTGTCCAAGACCTGCCTCAGTCGCTTCCTCTTCTTAGCCTTGCCCAACCCTAACGGTTGGGTTGTATTCGTGTGGCGGTTACGAAATGTCCGAATGGCTGTTTGGGCGTTTTTACTTCTTTCAGTGAAATGTCCGAAGAGCTGTTTCGGCGTATTGGCCACTTTTGGCGATGTGTCAGTTTTTTGTTTTTGTTTCTTATGTTCTGGTTCCCACGAAGTTATGTTCAGAGAACATCGTGAGAACCAAGGGAAATGAGGTAGGAATTGGTGTTCTTCTTAAATTTCTGGAGGTTATGTGCCTCGGCGAACACCTCCCTTGGCAATGTATTCCAAAGCCTCGCTGTTCGTTGGATGAACGAGTCTTTGGAAAGAGATGTTCTACAGGTCTCCAAAGTGACGACGAAGGGGTGCGAAGCCTTAACTCGACAGGTTAATCTCGCGGGGACTGCCAAGGGAGGAACGATTGTTGATATTTCAGAAGAGCATCGTCCATGAAAATATCTTCAAAATAAAGCCAGATCACCAACTTTTCTTCGGTGCTCCAGAGAAGTTTAGTGAGTTTGTGAGCGAGGCATCACCCGCGAGACGAATTGCTCTTTTTTGGACAGAATCCAACAGTTTCAGGGTATGTTTGGGTGCTGAACTCCAAATATTGGAACATTATTCCAGGATAGGTCGGATCTGTGCCTTATAGATCATAAGCAGCTGACTGGAATTGGAATAGCTCCTGGCCCGAACAAGAAAACCAGGTTTTCGGGATGCACTTCTAGCAATTGATCTCACGTGATTTTCCCAAGGAAGGTTATTGCTGATAGTAATACTAAGCAACGAAATGGATGTCTTGAAAGGTATGGTTACTCCTGACAAGCTTATGTTCGGCACCGTGAGATCGGCCTTTCTAGGGAAAAGGCATGCTTGTGTTTTGTTTCGTGACATTTTGAGCCTTTCACTCTCGACACTGCGATCCCGATCCATGCATCGCCGTTCGATACACTTCGACAACATGACCGCTTTCAGCAACTTGTCCAGTAGCAATTTTTAGGTACAACGACCACTTTCGGCAAACTGTCCACCGATCTGTCACTTTGCACTCTAGCTATGTGGTGTAGGTACTATTCTAGATTGACCTTCTTTGAATTGAATTACGAAATATTCGTTGAATTCCTCACCTATGAACTTATATCGAAGACCTGCCTCAGTCGCTATCTCTTTTTCGTGTTGTTCACCCCGCGGTGGTTGTGGTTGACCATCATGGGGTAGTTGTTCTTCTCCTCATCGTGAACTATGATGATTATTTTGAATGATAATACTCTGGCAATATGTCCAAATACCTGTTTCAGCATTTTGAACATTTTCAGCAAAATTTCCGAGGAACTGTTTCGGCGTGATGACAACTTTCGGCGATATGTCATTTGTGACAATCCAAGCAGAATTGAGCTTCTGGTTTCGACGCTGCAATCCCGATTTATGCAGCAAAGTTCGATAGGATTCGGCAGCATCACTACTGCTGGCCACTTGTCCAGTGGCGTTTTTGGTAAAGTGTCCACCTATCTGTCACTTTGCGCACTAGGTATGTAATATAGGTATATATACATATCTCACCTATCGGCCTCTTCTTCGTCTTGCTCACCCCGCGGTAGCTGTGGTTGTGATTGAGCACCGTGGGGTGGTTGTTCTTCGCCTCGTCGTGAACAATGATGATTATTTTGAATGATAATACTTTGGCAAAATGTCCAAATAGCTGTTTCAACGTTTTGAGCATTTTCAGCGGAATTTCCGAAGAGCTGTTTCGGCGTAATGACAACTTTCGGCGATATATCATTTGTGACATTCCAAGTAAAATAGAGCTTCTGGTTTTGACGTTGCAATCTCGATTTATACAGCAACGTTCGATAAGTTTCGGCAACATCACTACTTTCGGCCACTTGTCCAGTGGCGTTTTTGGCAGAGTGTCCACCGATTCTATCACTTTGCACACTAGCTATGTAATATAGGAACTATAACATTTCTTAGCTATGAGCTTGTCCACGACCTGACTTAGCCGCTTCCTCTTCTTCGTCTTGCTTTCCCCGCGGTTGTTGTGGTTATGGTTGACTACCGTGTGGTGGTTGTTCTTAGCCTCACTAAGAGATTTAGTAGGTATTTAATACCAAACGTTTAATAAATTGGGCGCCAGTCACTACATTAATCAAATAATACCAGTACAAAATTGTATCATACCAAACTATAAGTATCATACTATTTTATATTGGTAAGATTTGATATAGTAGAGTATTATATGATGTTGTAGTGATATCATTAGATGAATGTTGTGACTGACGCCTATTTTACTAAACGTTTGGTAATTACTACCGACTACTTTTCTCAGTGCTCGTCGTGAACTATGATGATTATTTTGAATAATAATAATAATACTCTGGCTAAATGCCCAAATAGCTGTTTCAGCGTTTTGGCCATTTTCAGCAAAATTTCCAAAGAGCTGTTTTGGCGTAATGACAATTTTTTCGGCGATATATCATTTTGTGACATTCCAAGCGCAATTGAGCTTCTGGTTTCGACGCTGCAATCCCGATCTATGCATAGGTTTCGGCAACATCACTACTTCCGGCCACTTGTCCAGTGGCGTTTTTCGCAAAGTGTCCACCGATCTGTCACTTTGCAGCTATGTAATATAGGTACTATAACATTTCTTACCTATGAGCTTGTCCAAGACCTGACTCAGCCGCTTCCTCTTCTTCGTCTTGCCCACGCCGCGGTGGTTGTGGTTATGGTTGACGACCGTGGGGCGGTTGTTGTTCGCCTTGTCGTGCGTGGCGGCGCTCTCGGCCATCGTCATTGACGCGGGGCGGCAGAGGGCCGCGGGTCCTGCTGGTCTTTACGTGCACCCGGTGAGAGAGAAGGGGCTCATGTGGCGTTCTGGAACAAAAATACACCATCGTTAGTCCTGTGTTGATACTACTCTGAGAAAAAACTCAGTCCTGCCATAAGTGTGCAACGTATTTAAATAACCATGACATGCCTTTTTTCGTCGACCTCTACAGAAAATCACATTTTACGTTCTAATTCCAGCACGAAAAACCGAATGAAAGCAAGTACTTTTCGTCCGCAAGGTTGCGAGTTCTACTGAATTCTCAGGAGATCTCCTGATTTGCTTATTGATCTTCTGATCTACTGAAACATTTCATAACCTACTGAAAAATATTTTGGCCCTTATTCATTATTATAATAACCTATATTATTATCAATCTTTTGACAAGAACATACAGTTATGAACTGCATGATATTTTGGCATGCTCTCTTTCCATCAATTTTACAAAATAAGTAATAAATATACATATACGTACTAATGATATGTATCAACCAAAAAAGGACAACACTTCACCTGATTCAGATCAAATTCTATTTTTCATATACCTCTGTTATAACAGTTTGTTCCTAACGTTTAATTTTTTTATTTCTTTTGTATTTTTGTAGTTCATTTTCACTATTCGTTCCTGTTTTTTATATTCTCAAATCTCATAAGTACCTACCTTTGTAACTGTATTTTATTATATGTGTGAGTATTTTCAAATTGAGAATTAGGAACATGACTATTATTTATGAGAATATTTGTTCCGTTTGTTTCTATTTTGTTGAAAATAAGTTATTTATCTGTTCACTAAAAGTACATAATGTTTTGACGTAATAGGTTTATCTCATCATCCTTTCTTGAAATTCGTATAGCATAAAATAGATCTGAATTTTTGACAAGGAATTTACTGATGAAAAAAACCTAACTGGCAACCCTGGTCCGTGCGGAGAGTGAGTTGACGACAACTGTCATTTGCTGTTGTCAAATTAATTATTCACGAAATCCGATAGATTTTACGTGTGAATAGGACCGTGATGTTAACATAAGTGTTTGATGTCGACGAAAAAATGTAATAGCCACCTCGGCGAGAAACTATCAATTGTCCCGCCTGATTGCTATAGCCTTGTCTAAGGCCTCGGCTATCAATTTGCAGACTAGGCTATAATAGACAGTGTTTCGTCCTTAGTACATAAATAACTATTTCCACAAACGTCAAATAATGATTACAATGGCGCATTGATAACAATATGCGAAGTGACATTTTTTTTCAGTTTCCTACGTTACCACGACACCGTGCGCGAAGTAGTGTGCGAAGTAAAACAGTGCAGTGCAGCATTGCATGTACACAATATATCAGATTTTTGTATCATTAACTTTATGGTCCTCAATCGAGCAAACATCTAAGAAATTATTCATTTCCGAATGTTCAACAGTTATTAAGGTTTTTTATGCTAGGTCAACACCATTTCTTATATCGAACTTAGCATATTACTACTTCAGAACGTTATATTTTGACGTTTGTAGAAAGAATGTTGCATGCAACTCGGTCGCGAAATACTTTGGTCATCTCGACTATTTCTTCAGATACAAAAATACCTATTGTTATATGTATGAAACAGCATTTAGCCTACATTATCGAAATGGTGAAACATATCCGTGACATATTATCCCGTCAAACTATTATTTCAGTCAGGAGGACCCATTTTCAATGCGCATGCGTACACTCTAAGAAAACTGTTGGTGTCTTTTTCAATTCCAGACTGTTAGAATTAACACTAACCCTATTCAACACCAAAATTGTACTATCCTATCATAAGTATTGGGAATTTGATATCGTGGGGTTCGACGGTGTAAATCGTGATACATTATGGCAAATCTGAATTCGGAATCACACTTTTCATACTCATTATTTGAATTCAAACTGTAAACATCAAATTATTCTATTCATGAATCACAAAGTTGATATATTCTGAAAAATTATCATTAGTAGGTGTAATTTTTCAAAATTCATATCATGAAAGTGATCAACTATCAAATTTTTCATGTGGCTATCAATTTTATGAAGTATCCATATTCACACAAATAATTCCTCTTCAAGATATTCACCTAGTAATGAGATTGATAACCAAACCAGTGTATTTTCTGATATCACTGGAATAAATGACACTGGAATAGTTGTAAAACAACACCACTAATATCAGAAAAACATCGGAACAAATTTGTCGCCATACACTGTTGCCACCTCGTCTATTTTATATTACTTAAACCTATTTCATATATAACACTTTGAACATCGTGGTGTATATCAATATGATGCTCTCTAATTAATGACTGCAACATTCTGTATCATTACTGCAGAGCTTACATGCATTTTGGTCCACCATTCGTCAAACGTACTCGACAGGCTGAGTCAGCACATCATCGTTTTGTCGTCAATCTAGAATTATGTCAAACAACTCCTTTCCAAAACACGTTTGTCAATGGAACGACGAAGCTTCGGTATTCTTTGCCAACGGAAGTATTTCCAAGAACTTATGAGGACAATTTCATTTAAGTACCTACTGCCTATGTTCATTAAATTATCATGAAACTAGGTACATATACTTAGTTATTTCATATCGTGATGCTTGGCAACCTTGCGCATCTTCTTTGTGTACGTGCTCCTATCACTTCCACACTCCAGACTCCAGAGTTCCACAGCCATTCGTAGTAAACGTTGAGCAATATTCAGCACTGTCTCTCTTCACTGTGCTTTCAATAAGCACGGATCATGTTGCTCTTCCAGTGTAAAGTGCATGATTGTTTCTATCATGAAGTGTATAAAAATAAAATTCAAATGCTCAGAAAAGTTTATTGAGGAGTCAAAATCAGAAACAATTGTCTCGATGTTTCGACACAACACCAAAATCGATGGGACACAGAGCTACCACAGGTAATACAGGTCAAAATGAGTTGATTGGACCTAACTTGTTTATATAAAAGAATGTACCGTTTGTCCGTGAGGTGAGTTTAAAGTTTTCATAAATAAACACATTTTCGTTCGCTGATCGCTGTTCAAAAATGAGTGAAACAAATTGGATGATATTCGACGAAAGTGCATTTTAGAGTATAACTCTTCTTTCAGTAATCGAAGAATCCCGAACGAAATTGTAGATCTTTTGAAAATATGTTTATTTATGAAAACTCTGTATATTTTCCAATAAAAAGAAGTTGGGTCCAATCAACTTATTTTGACCCGTATTACCTGTGGTAGCTCTGTGTCCCAGCAATTTTGAGATGCCCTGTATATCTCAACAAAAATATTTCACACTATAATGAATTACAAATTGATTGAACATACCTAAATGTGTCAGAATTCTGAAGATTCGTGTCAGATGAAGAACTGTCCTCAATTAGAATTGACACAATTCCGGTTAAGAATTCAATGATCTGGTGTAAATAAACACCGTATTCATTGTAGATTTGATCATTTGATGATGATTTTGTAAACTCATTCTGGTGTGACTTTAAATATACTGATGTTTTTCATGATCAATAGTATTGTGATTCACACCAGACCAGTGCGAACTTTATCAGAAAATATCGCACATAACACACCAGACTGGTATTACTTTACATCCATTTCGAAATCACAAATCTCACCTGGAAATGTGCAGAGATAGCACCAAACACCGGTGCTCTACAAATAGGTGTGAATTAACACTGAAATATGCAGGACCTCTAAGGAAATCATTCGGTGTTAGCTGGTGTCAACTGGTGTTCCAGTTTTTCTTAGAGTGTATTCATATTTTTTCCTAAGTGCATACAGTGGTCACAAAATATGACGAAATTAAAATTAGCAAATTTGTTGAATGTATACACAAAATTGATCGTTAATGATACCTATTGACGATAAATTCGTCTATTAACGAACGATTATGGTACACTCTAAGGAAAACTGGAACACCAGTTGACACCAGCTAACACCGAATGATTTCCTTAGAGGTCCTGCATATTTCAGTGTTAATTCACACCTATTTGTAGAGCACCGGTGTTTGGTGCTATCTCTGCACATTTCCAGGTGAGATTTGTGATTTCGAAATGGATGTAAAGTAATACCAGTCTGGTGTGTTATGTGCGATATTTTCTGATAAAGTTCGCACTGGTCTGGTGTGAATCACAATACTATTGATCATGAAAAACATCAGTATATTTAAAGTCACACCAGAATGAGTTTACAAAATCATCATCAAATGATCAAATCTACAATGAATACGGTGTTTATTTACACCAGATCATTGAATTCTTAACCGGAATTGTGTCAATTCTAATTGAGGACAGTTCTTCATCTGACACGAATCTTCAGAATTCTGACACATTTAGGTATGTTCAATCAATTTGTAATTCATTTTATTGTGAAATATTTTTGTTGAGATATACAGGGCATCTCAAAATTGCTGGGACACAGAGCTACCACAGGTAATACGGGTCAAAATAAGTTGATTGGACCCAACTTCTTTTTATTGAAAAATATACAGAGTTTTCATAAATAAACATATTTTCAAAAGATCTACAATTTCTTTCGGGATTCTTCGATAACTGAAAGAAGAGTTATACTCTAAAATGCACTTTCGTCGAATATCATCCAATTTGTTTCACTCATTTTTGAACAGCGATCAGCGAACGAAAATGTGTTTATTTATGGAAACTTTAAACTCACCTCACGGACAAACGGTACATTCTTTTATATAAACAAGTTAGGTCCAATCAACTCATTTTGACCTGTATTACCTGTGGTAGCTCTGTGTCCCATCGATTTTGGTGTTGTGTCGAAACATCGAGACAATTGTTTCTGATTTTGACTCCTCAATAAACTTTTCTGAGCATTTGAATTTTATTTTTATACACTTCATGATAGAAACAATCATGCACTTTACACTGGAAGAGCAACATGATCCGTGCTTATTGAAAGCACAGTGAAGAGAGACAGTGCTGAATATTGCTCAACGTTTACTACGAATGGCTGTGGAACTCTGGAGACTGGAGTTTGGAAGTGATAGGAGCACGTACACAAAGAAGATGCGCA